GGCGGCACCGGCAGTGTGGGCACCAGCAGGCAGGGGTGCAGTGAGGACTCGCAGACCATGCACAGGACACAGTCCGGGCGCCCGGTGTGGGCTGCGGTGACAGGTTGTGCCCCACAAACGATGCTGCTTTCCACTGCAGAGCCAGCACAGCTGGAGCATCGTGCGCGCGCGCACACACACAGAGCACTGTGCCCACACACACGCACGAGCCCAGGACATGCTCGTGGGCAGCTCAGACCCTCCCAGGAGCCCGACAGTCATGGGATGAGGAGCAGGAGTGGCTTTTGCAGCGTCCCCGAGGGCAGTGCCCCGGGGACCCTGGCTCCACTTCCTCGATAGCGGCCGCAGAGCCGCTTCCCCGGCGCAGAGGAGCGCCGGCCATTAGCTCTCCATTTAGCTGATCAATGCGGCAGCCGCAGGGATGTGCCGGCTGTGCGCCAGCTGCGTGCCGGCCCTGGCCACATGGATCCAGCCTAGCACCCGCCGGGGAGGCCAGGCCAGGCGCCACGTGGGAAGGGCAGCGCAAGCGGCGGAGACGTGGGGTCCCGCCCCGCCGTGGTGCCACGCACGAGCCCAACATCACTCCCGCGCCCCCAGGCCATACCCGTCTCCCGCTGCAGCGCCAGCCCCGGGGATGCTCTGCCCCGGCCAGGAGAGGACGTGGCAGCACATCCCCTGGGATGCCGCCACCTACATCCCGGACCCGGTGCCCGGCTGGAGCCCCCTCCCGCTGACCGTGGCTCGGCAAACGTGGTGGGAGCCGGGCTGGCAGGCTGAGCCTGGCTGCTCCCGGCAGCTCCCTCCAGCCGCTGGGGCACGGCCGAGGAGGGAACTCCCATGGGATGGGGAATTGGAGCGGCTCAGGCACGTGCTGCCGGCTCACCCAGCCCCATGCCCGGGTGGAGCTGCCAAGCTGTGTGCCGGGCCGGTGCCGCCACCTGCAGCGGTGCTGGAAGGCGCCTGGAGCCCTCCCAGCCTTGGGCTTCGTCGTGAAGGGCCCAGATTCATCCCTGGGGAGATGGCACAGGCTGGCACGGGAGGGATGGGGCGCAGGAGCTGGTGCGTTGGCCCCGCCTCCGGCACAGCAGCCGCGGCGGCTCAGGGAAGGGTGTGGGGCCATTCCCATGTGCGACCGGTGGAGCTGGTGTGACCACGCCACGCCCAGCCACCGTGGGCACCTGCCGTGCCTGTGCGTGGCCCTGCCCCGGGCACGGCGTTGGCGGCAGCCAGCCTGCGCACCGCTGCCAGCTCTGAGCTGTCCCACGCGCCCCGGTCCCCAGGGGCTGCCTGCGCCCTGCTCCCCATCTCCCATCTCCCCCGGCTCAGCTCTGCGCTTGCCCCCCTGCCACCGGGAGCATCCCCTGCCCGGCCACCGGCAGCAAGGACAGGCAGCGACACTGCAGCGTCCCGGCCCGG